TCATTAACAGCGTTCTCTGTCGTTGCCTTCGTACATTAAATTCATTCTCAAGGTCAAATCGTGGAAGTATACCAACTCAGCGTATGTAGTTGTTACGTTGGAAGTGGCAGGAGAGGCCAAACCTGTCGAGCCAGTGCACGAAACCTCATTCTGTTTACGGTCTATTGATCTGTTGTGTTCGTACACACAATGAATGTCCTCTCTGTCCGTGTGGTTGACTGACGTTTTTGCCTTTGTGTCGCCGCAGATTGCCTTCCTGGGACTGACCACGGCGGAGCGGATCAACCTGACACTCCACCAGAGGAAACTCCGACAATCCGCCTCCCTCAGACAGAATCCATACAAGTGAGTTGATATTAGTTCACCAGTTTAAAATGTTTGCAACATTTGTTAATAAGTTTTTTTTGTCTAAAAAGCATCCAAGGCATATCGTAATCTTTTAAAACAAAGTGCAGCTCTTTAATGCTATGTCCTTTTACTTCAGTTGGCTGATCAGTATTTAATAGTTTTGATTGATATCTGTAGTTAATGTCTGTGTAATTATTATTAGGAGGAGCTTTATGCTTTTTAGTCAAGGTCTTGTGCATTAATGAACGTCTCATTGTACATTAGCTCTGATTTATTACTGATACCAGCGTACCAAATGTGTTATTAGTCCCTCTTAAAAATCTGGACTCAAATCACATTGAACATGTGTGAGCTGATCTTTTCAGACGTCTGCTGAGGGCTTTGTGAACCTGGGTCTGGATCTGAAAGTAGCTCGTTTATCTGTCAGCATAGCTGCATCCAAATCTGACCCAAAAATAAGGCCGTCATTTGAGATACAATTCAGTAACAGGAAACATGAGCTACATTTTCAACTTCTGAATTAAATCATGCATTTGGCTAAAGGAACCAATCAGGAAGCTTTTGTGTAGGTTTGTTGTGATTGTTGAAGCCCAGCATGGCGTCAGTGAGCGTGCAGCACTACTTAGTGTAGATTTAGTTGCAGTGAATCAAATAAGCTGAGACATCCAGTTGGAGATGATTGAGTTTGTTAAAGCTTTAAAAGGAGAACTGAGTGGATGGAGCTCTGCCTGGGAGGTTGGCTTCAGGGGAAAGAAAGTCCCGCAGGCATTAATGTATTTGCATAAAATCTTGGTTTGATGAGGTTGAAGATTTGATTTGAGTTTTTAATTGGTAAAATATAAAAGGCAATCTTCCAGTTTAAATCATTTTTATAGAAACAGATATATTATAATGCTGGTTGATTTAACAAAATTCATGGGAAAAATACATTTCACACATCTCTTAATACAACTTTAATCAATTCGATTCAAAATGTGTTTATAAAGTGGCAGTTTGAGGCTAATGAAGCCACAGAAATACACACAAACAGTTCTTAAATAAACTAAAATAAGCTAAACATACAGATTTTGTGTTGTCGGAGATTGTTGTCCAGTTACTGTTTTGCCACTTTCTGTATTTAAACCCTTTTCTTTCATCAACACATTATGTGAGAAAGTGCAATGTCCTGAACGGGGTCTCGTGGTCTCTCTGCAGTTTGGGCGTGGTGAGGAACCTGGTGTCCTTCTTCCAGCTGCGTTGCTGTGGCCTCTTCAAACCGGCCATCATCGACTGGACGCAGCAGTTTCCGCCCGGCCGCGACCAACACATGTTCGGACACACCGACATGGTCTGACCTGCCCCGCCGCCCCCTGACTCAGGGTCAAGGGTCACACTCTTACAGTGGTTCTGGACCAAAAGCACAAAGTGTAATTTATTTATTTTTTTAACTGGGTCGGGCTCCTTGTGAAGAGAGACCACGATATCAGAAGTTGGGGGAAAACACACAAAGCATTGTGTAGATATTTGTTTGAATCGGTTGCTCTTTGTACAGACTGCTGCTGCCTTATACTTGACCAATGTATACATGAGATGAAAAGATGTTTAAATTTGGGTGTGGTTAAGAAAACCTTTAAAGGCCTGAATTGTAATTGAAGATTTCAGATGTTTTTTTTAATGAACACATCAAGCCTATTTTGTATAATCTGCTCTGGGGGAAAAAAAGGACCTTTGTACATTTAAACAGTTGGTTTTATGACTTTTGTAAGAACTGCATGTGTTTAATAATGAATGACCACTATATTACTTCAATAAAGCAATGTTGTGCCTGTCTTTTTAACTGGTTCTGTGTGGGCCTCTACATAGAACAGAAACACTGTTTCCTTTTAGCCTATGTTAGCTCTTAATTATGGTTTCACAGCACACAGCTGTAGACATTCACCAATTAGTTTCTTTAGGTTGTATTCAGCAAATTAAAGCTCTAACAGGGTTTCCCACATGTCCTGGAAATTTAGACTAGGCACCTGGAAATTGATTAAAATGACCAGATATCCTGGAATTAATCTATGTTGTCCTGGAAAATTCAAATTGTATTTTAGCCCCTCACTTGGATTATGTAATGCTAGGTTTGTATTTTGTTTTAAACTTTGTGCTATGACATTTCAAAGCGGGTTTACCTTCCCAACACTTGCAGCAAACTTTTGGCTATGAATCTATTTTATAAATGCTGCAGACGGTCACATCTACAAGAATACAGCCTAATATTGATCTCTGACTAAGTGCTGTTCTGTATTGTGAAGAAAACTCAGAGAAATGATTCTTTAAAAGAGTGGAAACACTGTCTAAAAACAAACTGTAGTATGCCACCTGCCCGACACCAAATAACAGACAAAATTAGTGACTAGCTGGTGAGGGAAACCAGATACTTCCCTCAGGATTGGTTAATAGAAACCTGTAATTGCTGTGGAGATTACATAGAAATAGTTGGATACAGACTGTTTCAGGTCAGGTTATTGTGCCTATAGATACAAATAAGAGGCTGACTGACCGAGTTGATTGATTATTTCCAAATTGTGTCAGGCTTTCTATAAAAAGAGCTGACCTACTGATACTGGTGTGACAGCTCAGATTGTATGAGTGCAGGCATTTTAACCTTTACTACTTTATTTTACCTTAACATAATTGTACATAATTTGTTGGTTTATATCTTAATTCCTCTCCTCACATACATAAAAATGTGTCTTCATTTTGCTTTGTGTCTGCTGGATGTATAAACAAACTGTTTTCTTGCATGTTAGCCAGAAACACTTCATGCAGTGATAGTATATCGTGCTGCTGGTGTTTCAGTTTGTGGAGCTCTTCTGCCCCCAACTGGCCGGTAGGTTAAGTAACGCAGCTTTGAAGACAACATGAGCAGAGGTCTCATCAGGGGTCACACACAGTGGCAGTCGCAGAGATCTGCTCTTCATCCGGCTGCGAGAGGCTGACAACTTAAGTGGCAGTGTGGAAAATGGGAGTATCTGAGATTGTGCACGTAGACGACTGTTTCATTCTTTCTCCTCTTGCTGCTTCTGCCGGGGTGAGCTCTCTGTGAAAGGAACAGAGGCGGCAACCTGCCACTTCCCAGGCTGAAAAGACCTTTAGGCGGACAAAGAGGGGCAGAGACAGTAGATGCTGCATGATTCGCTGGTGCCTCAGTCTCAAACACTGCGATAGTCTTCTAAACAATGACAGCACACTACCAGACTGCCTGCCACTCTGGCTGAATATTGTGAGCTTTACTTTAGATGTAGTGCAGAGTTTTATTTGTAAGAGAAGACACTGTGATTACATCTTTGATTTCATCTTCTGGTCCATTAAAAAAAGTGTCAACAGACAACTTGTTTTTAATTTAGAGATCATTAATAATATTATTATTATTATTATGTCACAGCTTTTTATTGAGGTATTAGAAAGGGCCATAGGTCGCTGCATTGGAGTCATAAGTCAGTGAAAGAAAGGATGTTTTTCACCTTTTAGGAGAGATGATTTAAGACTTTCTCTATCACTGAGTTAACGGACGACCCCTAACAGAGTCACATATTTTATGTATATTTCATATTATATTCAATGCAAAACAATAACAGTATAGAACAACTGATAAACTGTACAATGAATCCAAACAGTGAACACAATAACTGCAGGAGGTTTGTGTAAAACGGGCGATTTGGATGAATTTCAAGCAGATTATTTCCTGTAAATATTGATCAGAGATGAGTTTTCATGATGTTTTTAGTAACATTTTATAAAATTCTTTGTCTGTATTGTTTGTTTTTTGACAATAATACTTAATATGCTTCTTCTTTTGACAAAGTGTTTTCTTCTAATTGTTCTATTATCTCTTTTTCTAATGCAGCACGAGGCTGTTTATCAGACAGTGAAGGCTCTGGGAATAAAGCTTGTGTTCAAGGTTTACAACTTAAATAATAATCTAAACTTTATAAAGAACTATTTCACTCAGAAATAAACAAAATACTGAGTTATTTAGACCTACTGTATTTATTTTTTATGTTTTCTTGCAGCCCTTAAAATCAATAAAGTCTCGCAACCCCCCATGAAGCTTCAGCGACCCACCAGGTTGGGAACCTCTGATGTAAGACGCTGTGCTATGGAGTCCGCTGTTTGAGGGACTCTGTAAATATTTTCCTCTGTGTTATCATCTCTTCTACTTTAATAATGTGAGATAACAGCTCTAATTTTAGTTTGACAAAAACATCTAATCCCACCCGGCCCAGCGCCGCTGCTCACACATAATTGTTTGGGAGAAATTAACACATTGCTGTTTGTTAATCACTTGTTGCCTCGATTATTCAAATTAATTACTGCGCCAAATTATTTATGAATGCAAATAAGATTCTATTAATAATTAACTTTAACAAGATGAGGCACTGCTAATTGTCTTCTCACAGCAGGAAGTAATGGTGATGGAAATAAATTCATCAACTTGTCAGCAGGGTTGGGCAAGTTGTGCTGCTGTCTTAATCATCAAAACTGTAATTAGTAATAAAAACAAAAGGATCTTAAATCTGTGATCTAATAATGAGTTCATCTCTCTTCTGTATGTGAGGTACTAAACAAATGGACCCCAAACTGTATTTATATGCTCTGTTTTCTGGATTCAGTTCATTCAGGATACGTTTGAAGGTGACAAAATTGTTTTATTTTGTACTCAGAATGATTAATTAGAAGTATTAGGCAACATTTTACCCAGTTTTCAAGATTGCTTGACTCTGCTGTTATTTTAGCTGCCCGGTACTGTGATTCCCAATACGGCGTCTAGAACATCATGGATGTCATCATGCATGTAGAACATCATCCAGTGTAAAAGTAAAGGCTGAGTCTCCATAGAAACAGTTGCCATGTGACGCAGTTAACGTGAGTTTGAGGTTTCTTTTAAAATCACAAGTGTTCACTCTCGTTCCTCCAACATGGCCGCGTTCCCCAGTCCAAATCCTTTTGGGCCGAAGTTTTTGGCGTAGCAAACTGAAGAGAGAATTAGAAAACAATGCTGAGTGAATGAGCATGTTCTCTGTGTGTGTGTGTGTGTGTGTGTGTGTGTGTGTGTGTGTGTGTGTGTGTAGGTGTATGTACCTTTACAGTACAGCTCTCCATCTTTGTCTGTCACTGTGGTCGACTCCAGGCTTTTACCACACAGAGCACAGCGGAAACAGGTTTTATGCCAGGGCTACACACACACACACACACACACACACACACACCCACACACAGAGTTATTGATAAAAATAGAGGCTGCAAATGTCACTACACTAAACACAATAAAGAAGTTTTGTGGTGCAGTCAGACTGAAAGCCACCTTGCGAAGTGTTGCAGTGTAGGTCTGAGTATTGAAGTTCATTCAGGTTGAACTAATATGTATTTAAGTCACAAGGATTTATGTTCTTGGGAATGTTTGTTTTTAGTGTAATCTTGCCTAAATCATGGAGATATCTTGCTCTGTTTAAAGTGTTCAACAGGCAGCCAGATTCAGGTATTTTTTTGTTGTGCAGTCAGTTATTTTGACCATATCAATACAGTAGACACACACACACTCGACCACCACGTTTGGGCTCTAAGGAGAGGTGCATTGGATGTTGACTAATGTCCTGTTTCCTCTCAGGTGTAGCTGATCTGCCCATAAAGGAGGGGGCTCCAGTTCCAGTTTCCAGCCTGATCAGCAGCAGTTGTGATTGGAGTCGTAGTGAAGTCGACTTCAGTTTGTTTTGTCGTTTCTTTTATTTTCTGACGGGGTCGGTGGTTTTAGTTCTTGTGGCTGTTACTGTTAGTTAGGTTTAGTTCATTTAAGGGGGAAAAAGCCCAGATCCTACAGCCCTATCCGTGTAGGTCTGGGAAAATGTCCTCTTTATGAAGATTATTTATAAGAGGTCTCAGTCTGCTGGAGCAACATGAACCCCCTTTACATTAAAGAATGATGCATTTTAAAATGTGTGGGGAAAAAAAGTACATTAAAGTAAATTACATTAAAATAAAAGCCACAACAGTGTTCCAGGAAGAACTGTCCTTACCTTCCCCGCTCCCATAATCTTCTCTGCTGCGTAGACGGCTTTGGAGCAGCGAGGGCAGCGGTCTGAACTCCCAAACTTCTGGGAAAATTTATTAGCGTTGGAGTTTGAAGAAGCTGGTTGTGGTTTAGACCTAGAAAAAAAGAACAAAAACTATAGTGTGATGACATCTGTAGTTACTTTTTCACCTGTAGTTTAATTTCTGTGGGCTTTTTAATCTGATAACAACCAAAGTTTCCACAATTATTTTCCCCTTTAGTATTTAATTCATGTCAGAGTGGGAAACCATATCATGGAACAATAAAGTTATATTTACACACTTGCTGTGTCACTTTTGAAGTTATATAATTGTTTCTCTAGCTGCATTAAGAGAAGAACCTTCATCTTACTGGAGAAAAGTGAAATGAACTAAATTAACTACAATTAATAATTTAAGGTGCAGTTCACTCAAATCACCAAAAATGAAGGTGTATTATGACGAGGTAGCAGTGGAGCAGCATAAAACCAAAACTACCAATATAGCTCAATACCACTAAGTGAGCCAAATATGTTAATGAAAGCCCGGCTTTGGCCAGTGTCTCTAACTGTAGTGTGATCACGTACTCATGAGACTGCAGGTCTACATTCTGTCCAGGAGGATCAGAGCTCAGAGCTCCAGCTCCTTGCCCGTATCCGTAGCCTTTTGGCCCATATTTCTTCCCGTAACAGGACTTGCAGTAAATCTCAGACTCGTGTGCTGCAACCGTGGTGCTGTCCAGCCCTTTTCTGCAGCTCACTGTGTGAAAGAAACACAAACATTTCAACAGGTTGTGAGGCTGCGGGGGTGGGACGGTTTCAGTTTATCCAGACTGGGGAGTGACACGGTGGAGTAATGGCGGTTAAAAAAAGCTCCCACCTAGCAAGTTTTATCAGTCAACAGTGACATTACACATAGTCAGATGTCTTGTGTTTCTATTTATAGGAAGAGAGGCGAGTGTGAGGTGAATGTTCGAGAAAAGATGAACACTTAGCAGATGCATGAGCTTATCGCAGAGGCCTTTCAGAGCTCCCGCTGGAACAATCCAGCAGTCACACAGACTCCCGTCCAACCAACTGCAGAGATCATTAAACACATATGAGGTGTGCACTCTCTTGGTTTTCATGTAGCTCTGAGTCCCCCTGGATTATACCGCTGCAGCTGGGAGATCTGGTTATTGCCCAAAAACTTTGGCTGTATCACAACTGAAATTCAGGTCAGGACGTTTGTCAAAAGAGCAGAGGAGGGGAAAGTCCCCGCTGTCAGACCCAGAGAGCAGCCATTCAACTAGTAGAGCAGGTTGGATGAGAACAGGGCAACTAAAGGAGAAACTGTGAGTGACTTTCTAAGAGAGCGTGGTCTAAACTGCAGCAGGACAGCAAGTGATTAGGAGTTTAGAGGAAGAGAGGCAAAGAAAAAGAGGGGAAAAAGAAGCAATAAAAATAGGAAATATGCACGGATGAAGGATCAGATAGGAGGGAAAAAAAGAAAGACAGACAGAAAGATAAGAGACAAAAAATGACTGAATGCAAGAAAGAAAAAGATAGCAGGACAAAAAGGATTGAAGAAAGGAAGCAGGAAGAAAAGGAGGCAAGTTAGAAAAAGATAGAGGGAAAAGGGGGCAATAAAGTGAAAGGTAAAGGAAAGATAAACGAGGAAGAGAGAAAAAGGAGGAGCAAGGAAGCAACAATAACAGGATGAAAATAGAAACAAAAAGACATGAGACAAATAAAAATGAGGAAAATCTAAATAGAATTAAAACCGTAAAATCTGAACTGTTTACTACAAAAGAAGAAGAGAACACAGAGAGATGCTTCTGTGCTGCTGAGTGGCTCTTCAGCTTAGACGGCACCCAGAGGTGTCAACGAGGCAGCCGATAAAAGCAAATGAGACACAGAAACTTTGAGTTTGTGTGGTTCTGCTGATCCACCATGACACACACGCACACACACACACACACACACACACACACACACACACACACACACACACACACACTCTCTCTCTCTCTCTCTACTCACTGCAGATGAAACAGGTCTTATGGAAGCTCCTCCCGTTACACTGGATCTCCTCTGCGTGGTACACCGTCTTCTCACAGGCTGCACACTTGGCACCTCCTCCCCAGTTTGGCATCTTAGAGAAACACAGAAAAAATAAACGTGGAACTGCAACTACTTATTTATTTAATTTCTAATCAATCTATTGATTTCTGACTGTCAGATGTTAAAAAAATAACACCCATAATGAGGCTAACGTAGGGCTGCGACTAACAGCTGATGACAGATTACTTTCCCAGTTACTCAGTTGATCATTTGAGCTAGTGAAACAGGCCCATCATAGTTCTTAACATGGTCAAATCTCAAAGATATTCAGTTTGAAATGATTGATGTGAAATGAAGATGAGCTACGACCTTTCTGCATGTTAAGATCTAATACAATTATTTTTCATTGTTAAATGATAACAGTAATTATTCAGCCATGTTTCATCTCATTTTCTCACATTTAAGCCCAATCTAGAAGCATATTTACACCTTTAAAGCTGCTTTAAAAACTTAATTGATAACTGAATTATGAAATGAAGGGATCAGTGAATAAACCCTGAACGTGTAGACTGTTGGTTAAAAGCTTGTATCTACTCCAACCTGTTAACTCTTACAGTGTTGCTCATGTTTCCTGATCAGTGTCTATATTACCCTTCCTCACTTTGACTCATCAGATTTCACTCTCACGTCCCCCCAAACGCCAGCTGCACTAAAAAGCCTGGAGATGTGGCAGTGCTGTCCTGTCTGGCCTTCTGTCCCACATTCCCGTTTCCACTCCTATCAGAGGCCGCCCTCCACCTCACAGGACTGGTATGTGACGTTCCAGGAATAGAGGCTTTACTGAGAGCTGCCTCTCCATCAAACACTGCTGGAAATGTCTGAGTTTCCAAACACAAATCTCACATTGAACTGGCTTCTGATGTTTATGCTCAAAAAAGAAGTAATAAAGTACATATAATTCCACTTATAGAAACCCACATGACCTCTGTGTTGTAATAAACCACTCAACTACGAACATGGAGCGTTAATGCAAAGAAAATGAGTCCTTACCTTGAACCAAGCCTGTGTGCTTCAGTCCTCCAACGTGGCAGCAAACGCTCCTCGAACGGCTTAAATACCGTCCATATCGCCATCACCACAGTCCACCAGTGACGCTTCAATGAAACTATCCTCCTAAAATAACTTGTGACAGAGAAAAGCCCTCTGACCCTTCATCACAGGCTGAAAGAGGGCCGAACATCAGCCACTCAAACATTTGTTCTGCACTCACAGACTGTAACCATCACAAAACCCTGACTGACAGCTGCACGCAGGGAGGCATCGGCGTTGGTATGTTACAGGATTATGGACATTAATGATGGGAACTCAAGGCATGAAACTGCAAAGCTGAATATAAACACATTTGTGAGCCACTCTAGTGACCCCTGAGATGTTTGTTAGCTAAATAAAAATGGTTTATGGCCATTTAAAGACATTTTATGCCACAATTAAATCATATTGTACAGAAAATTACATTTGTGAAGCCAAGTGGGAGAAACAGCCTGGCGCCAGACTTCCGAAATCACCATCCACATCTGATTTATTCAGGGATTCAAATAGAAAACTGCCATCTGAAGTGTTCTTATGATAATTTTAATGTATGTTTGATGTATGTCTAATGTATGTTTGTATGCTGCTACTGGATGCTCGAATTTCCCTCGGGATAAATAAAGTATCTATCTATCTATCTATCTATCTATCTATCTATCTATCTATCTATCTGCTTCTTCTTCTATCTATCTATCTATCTATCTATCTATCTCTATCTAATGAGTGGGAGATAATGGGAACCTTTTTGATTGATACCTCCCAATATATAAACTTCAACAACCAGATGCTAAAATAGATGCAAAGCAACCATCATTAGTAATTTAACATGTGTAACATTATATATTAATGCAAAGAATCCAATCAGCTTGTTTCAATAAAGGTTAACTTTATATTAATGGTGTAATAGGCAGGGTAGGGCAGATAATGTACGAGGGCTCCCCACTCACAAATGCTTTCATGTTCCTCCCATTCTGCCGACATGATGTGTGACTGTGGCTACTCTTAGCTTGTCAGACTCAGATAAACTTTCATTAACCCAATCTGTACTCTGTCAGCTTCAGCTGTCATTTTTCTACTTCGTCTGTCCTCAAAGATCCAGTGAGGAAAGTTTCTATTGGCAGAAATTCAATATAATGAGCACAAACTACGGTTTTATTAGTGTCAAATCAACTGAAAATAGAATTATGTTTTTGGTTAAGAGCCTTTATAGCTACAGACGCTGCAGGTCGCCTTCTATGGAGTAGAAGGGAAAAACCAAACAATCACTGGCATTATACAGGGATGTTCGCGTAGTACCGTAGTTTCTCCTTCACATTTGGAGGTCAAGGGTGAAGCAATGTTGTGAACTACACCACTAAATCCTACACACTGGGCCTTTAATGGTTCCTAGTGGAGTTTTAGACCTCCAGTAGTAGTATCACGGAGCCGATAAAGCACCAAGAATTGAAGCAGTGCAACAACGAAGGCAGCAAGCTTGTAAACATGGATATTAAAGAAACAGGTTATAAAATCGGCTTTACAAATCTTTTATGAGGAAGGAATGGTTAGGAAGCGTGCTAACACGTTATGTTTCAACATTGTCTTCAGTTTTTATAATCAATTAATCGTTTAAGTCAAATGTTTTGCTCTTCTCTGTTTTATAGCATCATTTATGTAACATATATTTGGGTTTCGGGCTGTTGGTCAGACAAAACAAACAACCGGACATCACGCAATGTTCTTAGAAAACATGTATTAAAATGTTTTACATTTATTTTACATTTTACAGGACAACAGAAATGAAGGTAATTTCCTTATAAATTAAACTTAATTAAACATAAAATGTCTGATTAGTCTTGAAATGAATCACATATTCACTTTCTCTTTAACAATTACATTTTTCAACAGGGGGGGTAACAGTTAACAGGTACATATGTGCAAAAGTCCTATCACCAGGTTTAACAAAATAATCAATCAACATGTTTCCAATCAAACTCTCAGTCAAAAAACGTCGACTTATATTTTTATTTATAATATTGATGTGACTTTTACTACTCTTGGTAATTTGAAAGGGGAAAAAAAAAAAGTTGGTGTTCACCCAGATTAACAGAAATAAGTGAAACAAACAAACAAACAAACAAAAAGAAAATTAACTCTCCTCCATTAGATTATGCAAATGTCGTCCCAGTTCCAACCAGCAATGACAATAGTGTTCATAAGTATCTGGTGAACTCGCTCTGTAATCTGGTTTCCATGTGTCCACCGGGCCACACCGGAAGTCTGCACGGCAGCTACTTTTAAAGCTGGCTGTGAGTGAAGGCAGTGAGCCCGCTGTGAAATGTTCAGAGGTAATGAATGCTTTAAAATGCTAAAAAAAAGAAAAGAAAAAGAAAGAATAACCCACCCATAACACACACACACACACACACACACACACACACACACACACACACACACACACACACACACACACACACACACACACACACACACACACACACACACACACACCAGAGGTTTCCCTTCGAAGGCTTTCACGAGTCTTCGGTGGCGACGTCCAGCTTCCTCTGAGGGATGTAAACAGTTTTGGTGGCCAGGTGTCCACCGCTGGTTACCATGGTAGCCAGAGGAGAGAGGGGGACCGGCGTGTGGAAGAAGCTGTGCGGGGGGAGCCCCGTCCCTTTGGGGGTGGTCATCAGAGGCTGGGAAACAAGACAGCGTTCAGTTAGTCTTTTGTTTTAAAAGGATGCGCTCTGACAGATAATCCACAGACCTCAGTGTGGACAGTTGTCATTGGAACTACTTCCTCTCGAAGAAACAACCATCATGATAACTCGAAACCAACGAAACACGCCTGCTAACCCTAGTTTCTTGTTGTGGTTTGACCCTTTAAAAAGTACAGACTGAAGGGGTTTTATTGGTTCACAGGTTTGTTTTCCTGCTTTCTTTTTCTTTTATGTTTGTGTAGTTTATCCATGTCCCTGTAAATACTCCTGTTATAATTATGTGTTAAATAAAACAGCAGAATTCCTGCTGTCTTATAATGCAATTACTTTACCAGTCTGATCTATTGAGTGGAATTTCAACACCTCCTCTCTCCCTTTTGTCAAGTATTTCGTTCAACTTTTTGATATTATCAAGTGGATTTTAAATATTTTTTTTTTTTTTTTTTGGGTTTTTTGTTTTTTTTTGTTGGGGGGGGGTGGGGGGGGGGGGGAGGGGGGGGGGGAAACCCCCGGCGGCTGCGGGGAGGAATCGACCAGGTGAGCTATCTGGGGGTCCCAAAGTTGTAACAGTATTTAGTATTACACTTCCATAGGGTCGGGCAAAAAAATTAATCAAAACTGCAGCAGAAGTTGAGATTTTACCCCCTCATACTATTACTCAAGTTACATTTACTAATTTTCTCAAGAAGACATTATACATCTGTTCTCACAGGTTGAGTCGTTACCTGTTGTAAACTGATCAGGGCCACTTGCTGCCCGGATACGGACTGCTGGATGGGCACAGGCGACACAGGCTTGATGAAAACCATGCCTCTCTGCTGCAGAGCCAACGGGCTGGCTATGGTGCCGGCACACTCTGGAGTCTGGGGGGTAGCGAAGCCGTTTCCTGGGCTGGAGCCTGAGATCAGACCCAGGTTCTGCAGGGTGAAGTTGAGGATGGCAGGACTGGGGCTGTGGAGGCGGTGGGCCTGCTGGGTGGCGTGTGGCGAGGCGGCGGCAGCAGTAGCAGCGGGTTTGTGAAGACGGAGGCTGGTGGGTGTAATCTCCTGGGCTGGGGAAGGTCTGGAGCCTGGTGAGGACAAAATAAAACAGTCCAGTTATTCATGTGTATAGACTCTTACTCTAATCCTCAGTTAATTTTGAGCTATTAAAAAATAACAGTAAAAAGCCCTAAAACTAAAATGAAGATGAAAATGAATTCATAGATTTCTTAGTTCAGCTATAGACCATTAAATAAACGACAATTTTTATTATAAATTGACAGTTTACGCCAGTTACCAAGACAAAAAAAACATAATCCTCTGGTTCCAGGTTATCAAATGATGTTGATCTGTTTTATACCTCTGTGAATCGAATACCTTCTGTTCAATCAACCAACTAACCCATTGTGGAAAGACAAAATCTAGTTAGAAAAGCAACATTTCTGACATTCAGTGCCATATTTACCTGCTGTTGGTGTTTGGTAAATGTTGTAAGTTGGAGTTGAGGCCTTGTTGCTTTCTCTCCCTGCACACTGAACTTCCCTGTAGCCGATGAGGGACTGATGGGAGATTGGGATCAGGTATCCAGCTGGTACTAAATTCTGGAGGCAGAGAAATGTGACACTGAATCGACTGACACGACAAAAAGGTCTTAGGTCTCAAACTCTGGTGTTGTCTTTGTGCACGTACCTCGGTGTGGACGTGTCCTGGCGTGAGGGGAACAGCTCTGACTGGTGTTAATCCCGCCTCGCTGTCAGAGTTCGCCGTCTTGTCTTCTCTTTCCAGGAAGGTCTCCAAGCTCTGCTCTAGCGTCTGATTGGCGACGGCGCCGCCGGGGGTGTTGACAAACTCCGGGTCGAGGTGGAGGGCGCGAGGTGAGGGCCGGCTAGAGAGCTGGGTGCTGCGACGAGCCTTCAAACGGGCCTGCAGGATCTCACACAGCTTTGGAGAGGTGTCCTAGAGACAGAAAGGGAGGGAAATTCTGTTTGTCAGAGATAAATAACAAGCATTTTAAAATGTTTTAGATAAGATAACAACTTTCCTTTAAATCACTCAGGATGTTTATTTACCTTAAAGTTGGGGTCGGCTCTCTTTGCTTTGGAGGGGCTGCTCTCTGAGGCTGAATCTGAACGCAGCCTTTTGAGCGCCAAGGGGCTGACGTCTGACGCCCTGGAGGCCGGCTGGCTCTTCGGTGCAAACTGGCCGGTCGGGCTCTGCCCGGTCTTATCCTCAAAGGTCATAGAGCGCACGGCGAGGCTGGTGGGCTGCGGCCTGGCCAGGGGATTCGGCCTGGGGGAAGAAGGCTGCAGATACACAGCGTAGGGCCCACCGCCCCGCTGCTGAGGTAACAACACAGGGATCAGGGATGAACACTGTGCGGGGATGTATGCTACGGAGCCCGCGGGCAGCGCTGCCAGCGAGGTGTGGGGGGTGAGGTGGACAGTAGTGTTGGCTCTGGGCTCATGGGTTGGAGTTAGAAACAGTGCCTGAGGCGGCTCCTTTGAAATGGAGGAGGTCGGCTGCAGCCTCACAGAAGCCGTGTCCACCTCAGCAGCAGCAGCAGCAGGCTTTGGATGTTTAGCTCCAGTCCTGGAACAGAAGCAAGACTTTGATTTAATATTTTAGAAATCATAACAACCTCGTTATGAAATCTGAACCTGGGAGCTGAAACTGTTTTATCTTTCTCTTGTTCTCAATCAAAGCATTTATTTATCTATTGCTGTTAGTTTGCTTCAGTTTTGAGGGTTAACAGTATCGTATTACAAACAATTCAAGAGCTCTAAAAATCAAGTCATATACTAACAGTTAACTCGTTATTTGGAGAATTTTGGTGGCTACTAATCCGACATCCTCAGTGCCATGTTATTTTCTGGCTGACAGCAGATACTACTCTTTGAAACTGTATGTACAGTATAGTCATTCTTAACAGCCTTATCAACTCCACTAATACACAAACACACCAGATTTAATTTAAAAAGCCAACTTTAAGTTGATTAATAGTCTAAAAGTAACCAAACTGACCTCTGATCTAATTCGATCTTACAAATAGCAGCAAGTTGGGCCATTTTGTTTGGGAAGTCTGCGTTCGACGAATCGCCTGAAGACAAAAGAGGAAAAGATGGTCAGTGTCGTTCACAAACGCCTTCACCACACGCGTAACCTTGTCTGGAGAAACATTTACTCACCGGGGGAACTCTTGACGGGACTGCTGGGGGCGGAGTTGATCTTGCGACGGTCGTCCTGAATGCTCTTAGCCAGCTTTATGAGGGAGGGGTGCCGGGTGAAGCTGCGTTTAGCCCCCGGTGATGAAAACAAGTTTTTGGCACAGTTGTCTACGGACCCACGAGACTCCAGCACACTTTTCTTCTTGGATGGACATTCGGATGTGCCGAGTCCTCCAAGTCTGAAACAAGAGTTTAATGTTTAGTCGGCGAAACTAGGAGATAATTTGGCACTGAAAAATGAATTAGAATAAGAAACGGACTCTGGTGATACCTTTGACTTGTGGGAATTCTTCGGGGCCGACCCATTCGAAGGCCGGTTTCCTCCCCCGCTCTTCTGTCACGTGGACTTTCTCGATGAGCTTCAGGCTCCGCAGCACATTCGCTATATCATACAGCCGGCGCACTTTGGCTGCAAACACACGAGCAGAGCAAACCACAAGATTATCCTACTGCCACAGAACCTGCGTTTAAAGCTCGCGCATCCAGCGGTACAATGTTGGAGTATTTCTATCCACGTATTCTCCATAAATACTTTCAAAATAAGCATGGAGTGCAGTAATTGTGCATGTATATGTAATAAAACTGACTTTAAACATCTTGTACTGGTAATAAATGTATCATGTATGATGCATTTTAGAAGATTTAAATAGCTTTGCATTGCTTTATAACTTTATAACATCTGTACATGCGTCTTCAGGCCCTCCACACTATTAAAATGACTAACAATAATGAACTGACACTAATACACTGCATCATCTAGATCATTCTGAATGTGCTGGCACTGAAACAAAAAGCCTTAAATCGACTGTTCTCCAGGATGAGATATAAAAACCATACACCAGGCCTCGTACTCACTCTTGAACTTGTTCTTGTCTTGATCGGCACCCTGGTCCTCTCCGATCAGGATCTTGGCGGCCACGTCCAGACTGACCACGCGAGGATTAGACACCAGGAAGAGCATGACAAACTTCTGGCTCATCACCCTCAGAGATTTGTCCTTCCGACTGTTAACAGAGGCTAGACACGACAAACGGAAAGTTAGTGCCACAAAACCTGCACTTTTGTTCGGTTTTTAATCTCGTATTAAAAACTTTTATTCAGATAAAGAACCTATGACTGAATTTCAAATTACTGTTGTTTTAGGATGCATTAAGCTTTCAAAAACAAAATTTGAGTGTATATTTCAATCGATAACTACAAAACAAGTCCATCTGTTCATTCTAAAAGGTAATTTTAAAGGATGTTTAATGCCTTTTGGAACATAAATGACCAAAAATCAACCATTCTGGATGTTAAAACAGCGGAAAAACCCACTTCCGATGAGGAATTATGCCTAAAATACGACCCATGGCTCTCCGGCTTCTCACCTGCTTTGAACTCTACTCCTGGAAGCTCCACGAAGAAGAGCTCCCTCTGTCCCTGCTCCCCGCTCTCCAGGTCCACCACCATCTCCTTGTTCTCCTTCTCCTCCTCGTCAAAGTCAAACTCCTTGTCCAGGAGACGCTGCCGGATCTGCTGCATCTGCTGGCCGTACCTGTGCTCCTCGCCCACCTGCTTCAAGATGGCCAGCGTCTGAGCCAGCTTCGTCCGGCCGTGCCACGTGTACCGGTTCTTGGCGGAGCGGCTCACCATGTGCAGACTCTCCAGCACGTTCATGATGTCGTAGATGCGCCGGCGTTCCACATCTGTGCCGGCGGCGAAGAAAACAAAATGACTCAAGTTAATAAATGAACTGGTGTCACAGTGTTTATTATTACTATTTGTGATTTTATTTCCCGCAAACTCACATATCTGCATCTGTGACAATAAACTAGACCTAGAATTTGCGATCGGTGTGGAAAATATTTGACAATCTCACCCAAATAGTGAACACGCTGATTGAGCAACTTGTGTTTTCCTGATAGTTAAAAGGCACTTTTAATACAATTCTGTCTGTATTACATGTCTTTAACAATAATACACACTTAAAAGGCTTCTTTTTTTTTTGACAAATTCAGCTGAGTAGTAGTTATTTAGATCAAGTTTGAGCAGATTATTTCCTGTTAAGGGAACTTCTTGTACATTTCTATCATTTTTAGGCTTCTCAGTTGGTGGAGGGGTCTTTAATTTAGTCTCAAAACGAGATTACAAATGAATTCAGACCTATTATGTAAGGAATATCAGCATATAATACACATTATTTGTATTATCATTACTACAGTTATCACTTTCATTATCTCAATGCTGACAACTATTAAAGATATTACTAATTTGCCATATTTTTTATATCTACTACATAGTTATTTGCATGTATTTGGTCCCCAGTAACCTCTAATGGGCATTATATTAAAACAAACAACAATCCCCACATTTAAAAGGGTAATGAAAGCAACCATTAGCTGCCAAATATCTGACACCCTGACTGTGGTCTGGATGGATTGATACTGTATGATTGATTAGTTGATACAGAAGACGTACTGAGCTCAGTGGCCACATCATCCAGGCAGATGTCGTTGTTCAGGGCGGGGTTCGGGCAATCTGGGTAGCGGGCGAGGAATTTGTGACAGAGCAAACCCAGACTCTTCTCTTTCCGGCTGATCATCTTCTCGGACTCTTCTCCGTTGTCAGTGTCCTGCGGGAGGATAAACGGAGAGTGGCGGATAAGAAAAGTGTTCCTGACTCATCATAAAGTGTTTCATTCATCGTGTGTGAGTTGCTTTTTGTACCTGTATGGAGTCAACCCCTTCCCGCCCGTCGGTGTCCATGCACAGCTCCTTCTCTCGGTTCCTGATGTCGGGGCTGGCCGCACTGATGAGCATCTTGAGGTTGGAGGTCGGCGTCCAGGGGTCGACTGAACCCACTTCCCTTCCTTTTTTAGGCGTAGTGAGGGGACCCATGGTCGGCCGGTTCTCCGCTGACACTGCACGCTGACCAGATACTTTCTTTGGGGTGTTTACGGGAACCTGGGGTGCTACAAAGCCATCGTCCTAGTCAGCAAAAGGGAGGAAACAGAAGATGGCGGTAAAGATACGAGCACGTAAATCTCTACTGAGGAACATTGGGATTTAATTCAAGGAGGTGTGTGAGAAACATATTCAGAATAATCTGTACTTACTGACCTTTGAATGATATTTCTGGGTCAGATTTTGACATTCAAGCGCTGTACTTGATATTTTCCACCTTTGCATAAGAAGTTAATAAAGAGTATAGCTAACGTTATGCATTAATAGATCAGCTCAGGGGTATAAAACTATTCTGAAATCTTTCTTAATATGCTCTTAACAGTGTGGGTTAAAGGAAAAAATAGGTATTAACTTATATTGGCTAAAATGTGTCAGATTTATTCACTACTTTTTCTAATTTGCCATATTTATTAGTATCATTAATCCAAATAAAGCATTGCTCATTGATTCCTGGATTACTGCTTATGTGAAGTTATTACAGCAAAAGTTACATATTTGTCATTTTAACTCTACTTGATATTATATTATATTATATATATATATATATATATATAAAATAAAGATTATAGCTAACTTTATGCATTAATACACTGATAGACAATCATCAATCTTTCATAATATGCTTTTAACAGTACAGGGGAAGGAAAAAAAGCAGCTTTTAACCTAAAACTTTACACTTTCCCAACAGATTATTCTCTATTTATTTTTTACCGTATTGATTAATACAATTAATCCAAATAAAACGTTGCCTATTAATTCCTGAATTACTAATTATACGAAGTTATTACAACCTTACCGCTTCTTCAGAGGAACACATTCGTCGGGTACCAACATTTCTAAAACTGCGTGTCAACAACAACAACAACAACAACAACAACAAGTGAATAAATAACATTAATAAATTAAATTACGCGCTGTGCTCTTTTTTTAAAAAAAATGTTTTTTCTCGGGGAGATCGATCACAAAAACAATCGAATCAAAACACCACAGATTTATATTGGCGGTAACTGACGTACGTTACGTCGAATCGCCGGGGCCAACGGACGTCCGCCGGTGCCGCCCTTTTTTCTCGGAGGCAGCCAATGGGAGCGCGGCGCGAGGCAGCAAACCGGAATTGGAACGGGTGTCCCGCGCAGGTAGACTGTTTTTGAAATCCTTGGCGCGGAACTTCTGTGCGGTAAACAAACGGCGGCTTCGCTTTTAAACTCTCGATACGGTCGCCGCAAACTGTGAGTCTACTCCACAAGAACACCGCTTGTATTTATGACTTTAACCGTTAGTTTAAGACGTGTTTTTAACGGTCCGACCCGTTAGCGTTAGCCGGGAGGGGCGGGAGGAGGAGGGGGGGGGTAGCTTGTTTAAAATCATTAACAAAACCGGAAAGTCCAGAAAACGTTAAAACATCCTCAACTTTTGTTTTATAAAAGCCACATTATCAGCTAACGTTCACACGACCGGGGGTTTATAAACAAGAGGCGGTAACCGAGCGACACCGACACCCAACGTTTTATTTAAAATGAAACATTTCAAAATAAAAGACCTAAAGCTGTGTTTTAAAATAAAAATACACAGATGTAATGTGTGCAGACTTACCCCCCAAATCCGGTTATAAAACAAGCTTCTAGAGGAAACTAACCATCTTCACGTTAGTGCTTCGTGTGTTGTGGGAAACCAGCTATATCCAAAAGATAAGTCCGAGCCTTAAAATGTGGATTTTAGTACAAAAACAACAACTCGTTTCCACGCAAAATAAAACAAATAAAAATAAAATAAAATAAAAAAAAACGTGTTGTTTTCCCCCTTTCCAGTACGCAGTGGCCTCTTGGTCAACTTTACTACAGTGGTGGAAAAACTTTGCCCAGTTGTGTGTGTGTGTGTGTGTGTGTGTGTGTGTGTGTGTGTGTGTGGGGGGGGGTGACCACCAGCTTTTTTGGCCCGCCCAGTACGAGCATGCGCGTTCACGTCACCGCGACACCAACCCCGCACTTCCTGCTCACAGGCGGGATCAGATACTGCACACGCACAGTCCCGCATCCCAGGTTTTTATCTGTCCTTGAATGAAATGATTTCATGTTCTAATCAATGCATAAACACAGAGTGACTCACAGTCCGTATAGTGAACACACTGATTGATCAACATGCGAAATCAGATCGCGTGACGTCTTCTAAGCGCTGTAGAAAAGAAACTAGGTCACGTGGAGCGCTGCCGTCCACTTTCCTGGAAAGTGCGGACTTGAAACTCTCTCCTAGTTTTTATTTGACTTTGATACACCACGTAAAACCGGACATATGATAGTTTTTAATTTGGTAGTAAAAAAAATAAATATCCGAGCGTCATTTTTGGGGGATTTTACAAAACGGGATAAAGTGGTTGAATCTGCTGATACTACTCTACGTGATCAATATAAAAAATAATTCAGATGTTTGGGGGTCTGGTTTGTTTGGAAGTGAGACTCTGTTGTGGAGCTTTCAGGACATCTCCAATTCCAGCTCTGCTCATTGAAATGGGTGAAATGCCCTTATGTTTAAGTTGGGAATGCAGTACTGGGTAACATTGAGTGGATCTAATTTAGCATTCCCAGCAAGGGACACTGGATTCTTACAGAAAGATTAAAAATAAATCACATAAATCAGCAGGAAAACACGGCACTCTACACAATTCGATTACCTATTCCTTATTGGTTAATGCAAGAATTGGATGTTGATTTAACTTTTTTATAAGAGAAGAATAAACGCGTGATTGCCTTAAAGTTGGAACAATATCTGAGCAGTGGTATGGGATCATATCTGAACATTTTTACAGATGGTGCCAGGGAACCAGAGAGTGGTAAAGCAGCTTTTGGGGGGTGTATATAACTCAACCGGACCTTCTGGATCTCTGTATTTACAACAGAGTTACTGGCAATTCTTTGGGCTCTGCGGTGGATTGAGCATGTGAAAATATATACATATATCATTGGGAAGAGTGGAACTAAAAGAAAAAAAATAAACAGAGTATTGAAAGGGAATGGCAAAGATTATGGGAAAGTGAGACCAAGGGGAGACACTATTACTCTTCGCAGTCTCAGGTTAAAAAAGCCAGGCATTGTAGGTTAAAAATCTGTAGGTTGAGACTTGGGCACTGTGGGTTGAATCCGTCTTTATATGTTATTGGAAAGCATCCTAATGGGCTTTGTGAGTGTGGAAACAGGTGAACATGTTTCATTAAAATGTCACAGAAAAACCATAGAAAGGAGCATTTTATATAAGAGAGAATCAGATTTGGGAGTTCGGTCATTTTCAGTTAAATCTTTATTGGGTCAAAATGAGAACCACCACTTGATTGTTAAAGTAGTATTACAGTTCTTACACGATAGAGGGCTGTATATGAATATTTGTAGCTTTTGTTTTGTTTACTGCTGTATTGTAAACGTTATAAAACCGTCTGATATGTATATAACGTGATATATATTTAGGTAGGTTTATGTGTACAGAAGAGCAGGGCTGAACTGATAAATACAGAGATGGGTTAATGTTCGTTTTCCCCTTTATCTGAACTCTCATACTCATTTCAAGGAGATGGATATACTGATTTTCCTAGTGTTTATTTTGTGTTTTATTTTATGTTATCTATGTTTATTTCTAGTTGCATGTATTTATTTATTACTTGTAAGGTTTTCTTTTGTAAACTGAGTATTCACATTGTTGTAGGGAGCCAGAGAACTACAATTTTAGTGCCCACATTTGAATTCACTATCCATCATGTGCATATGAACAATAACCTGAACAATCGCTAATTGTTTATTTGTTGTTGTCATGTGTATACAGATATGAGGATGGTGGACCCTCGACGCGGAGGCCTACCCGGAGAGGGCGTGGTAGGAGAAGTCAGATGAGATCCAGATCTCCACAGGCTCGGCCACTCCATCGCTTGGAGCCCTGGGGAAGTGGAAGCGACCCTGACGCTGCTCCACAAATGAGCCGCTTCATGCCACGGAGAACACCAGGAGCCCAGGTGGACACTCACGCAGCCTGTACACCTCTGGACCTGTTTCAGCTGTACTTCTCCCCAACCACAGTGCGAACACTCTGCACCAACACCAACAAGCGTGCAGCAAAGAGCAAGGAAATGGGGAAGAAGTACAAATGGGCTGATGTTGAGGTTGAAGAGCTCTACAAGTTCCTCTGGCTCCTTACTTATACATCTCTGGTGCCACTGCCAAGCATCACAGATTACTGGAAACAGAACACCATTACATGCCGTGCCGTTTCCAGCTACAGTGATGGCGAGGGACCGTTTCAGGGCTCTGCTTTGGAACATCCACCCCAGTGACCCAGAGGAGGACAAAAAAAATGATGAGAAGAAGGGAACACCAGAGTACGACAGGCTGACTCAAGCAATGGCTACATAGTGAATTTCAACATTTATACAGGAAAAACACACACACACACACAGAGTGCATGGGCTCTCATATGATGCTGTGATGCACCTGATCCGTGCCTACAACAGGAACATGGGTGGTGTTGAGCTGTCCAACCAGCTGCCGCAGAACCTGTATATAGTATATAGTTTGATTACACCTCAATTTGGATATAGTTTTGATTACATCGCAATTTTACCTCTTATATTACATTTGCACTATTTGAGACTTTGAGGGAATACAAAACACTGGTGTAGCTCTGTTTAATTTTGCACTTACTTTGTTTTGAAGACTTGCAGGTGGCAAGGTAAAAACACCTATAAATATACATGCTTTTTATGGTAAATATTTGTGTAAAGTATTACTTTACTTCAACTTTACATTTATTTGTTCATATTTGCAACCTATGTTTACTTTTTCAAGTTCCAAAAGAGTTCATTGAGCATGTTTGTGTTTTTTATTGTAATAAATTGTATATTTTTTAAATCTGTGTATTTTTGGGCCCAATGTGTTAATAAAGTAGGTCAAAGTGAAAAAATAATTATCTGATCATATAGATGACGTGAAAAAAAGTTACCAAGCATGGGTATGGCAAACATTTTTTTATGTGGTATGTAAAGGCAAAATCAATATATATCAGTATTCAAAAATGGCCAAAATGGGCTCAGACCCCAATTCTGTCTGTATTATGTATGTTTTACATGTCTTTAACAATCACACACACTTAAAAGGCTTCCTTTTTTTGACATATTCAGCTGAGTAGGAGTTATTTGGATGAATTTTGAGCAGATTATTTCCTGTTAAGGGAAGTTTTTATACAATTCTCTGTCTGCTTGATGCACTTCTATCATTATTTTAGGCTTCTCTTTTGACATTCTGTGTTTTGACCATTATTTTATTAGACAATTTACTTTACATTTACTTTTCTTCATAGAAGTGATCTAAATGCCGAAATATAGGCTTAGTGTGTATATTTTTTTAAAGTTTTCTTACATCTCTTCAAATCAAGAAGACCTGGAAAAAAACCCCAGTGAAGCTAGTGGTTGGGGAACCACTGCCCAACATCTCTAGTCTAGAATAGATTAACATTATTATGAACTGTTTTAATATAAAAACAAAAATAATCATATTTTTGCCCTTTTACAGGCTGCTTGCGTGTTTTAATGTAAACTGTGTTTTTATCTGAATGTCTCATATTTCCTGCAGAGAGAATTAAAGATTAACCTTTTAGAGCTTTGGCTTAGGGGCATGGTCATCTCATAGGAGGACAACTTTAATTCAAGTACTACAAGAAAACACAATATTCTGAAAATATTTCCATTTCTAACATCATATATACACTTTTACATTATCTGCGTTTATATATCATCTTTGTTGTTCGCAGCCAAACAACAAATGAAGCCCCGAACCCTCCTTTCTTCTTATCAACCCTTTCAATGCCATTTGCAGGCACATTTTGACCTTTGCCATTTGTTTTTAAAAAAAAATATAATTGTGTTTTGGTTTTAAATGTATACGAACGGATAGTTTAAATTAATGGGAAACAACTAGAAAAATAAAGAAAAAGAATAATCTTGACATCATGTTGTGAGTGAGAGAGAGAAAACAAGAAATATCTTTTGTTAAATATTATAAACAATATTGCTACATGACTTTGTTTATTTCTTTTTTTGAATTGTGCCAATTGTTTTCATCTTTTTGTTTGCTCTCTCTTGATTTAGTATCATGTATGTATGTATGGATATATGATTTTATACTTGTGTGTTGTTGTATTGTTATTTTAAGTGTTGTAACTTTACTATACTGCTGATAAAGAATAAATACAATAGAAAATGTTCACCCAGTGGTGGAGGAAGCTTTACTAAAGGTACCAAACTATAAAAATTCTCTGTTACAAGTCCTGCATTGAAAATGTTAAGAGTTCCCGAACAATGAACTTAAAGTTTTAAAATGAAAGTACTCAATGTAGGACAATGTCTGCTGTGACTGTTGGATTATTATGACTCATGCATTAATGTAAAAACAGGATTTTACTGTTGTTGTTGGTTGAGGTGAAGCTCGTTTTTTAACTATTTTGACTGCAACTAATGATTATTTTCTCGTAGTAGAAGCTCAGAGAGGGGCAGGAAAAGACTCATAAATCCAGTTAAGAGAGCTACATCCGTCCTGGACTTCCTCCTGGACTCCATGGAGGAGGTGGGTAAGAGGAGGTGGGTAAGAGGTGGATGTTAGCTGAGCTGACGTCAATCATAAACAACACCGCCTGCGTGAGACTGTGGGGTCCCTGGGGTCTCTTTATATAGCCTATATTTCCTTTAAATGACACTTTAACTTTGCAGTTATGTTTATTTTTACATTGTGCCACTACCTCCTGCTGTAATCTACTTCTTTTTAAATATAATTTTATCATACTGATGTGTTAATTGAATAATCTGTGCAATGTTCCATCAATCCCATCTGTATGTAAAAAGGTGTATATAGTTAAGTGTACACATAAAGTCTTTTGTATTGTAATTTTGTATCTTGAGCTGCTATAACAAGTGAATTTCTCCAGTGTGAGATCAATAAAGTCTATTTTATGTGGTCTGATCTTTCATTATGGGTTAATCTGCTGATTATTTTCTCCACTAATCAATTGATTGGTTGAAAATAGTGAGAAATGTGACACAGTTACACAGAGCACAAAGTGACACTTTCACAGTCCGAACCTCAAAATTATTAAAAAGAAATGAAAATAATAACAAAGAAAGTCAGAAAATCATCACTTTAACAACAATAACAAACCATATTTTATAAGTTCTTCATTTGTTTTGTTTGAAATAATCTAAAACCTGTAAATTAAAGCTGTCAGATAAATGTAGGGAATTAAAAACAATAATATTTCTCTCAAGTAAAGTACAAATACCTTACATTTTTACTTAAATTCCACCTCTGTTAAAACCTGATCAGCAAAGCGGTTCACTCCAGTTCACATAAAATGTCACCTTCCACTTATATAACTGACTTAAATCAAACAGCTCTGTGCAGCAAGTAAACAAAATACCATGTGTACCAACAGCACCTTAAACAATACAGCTATCAAACACTTTGTGATGCTTGAATTCAAATAAAAATGTCTCTGCTCTCTCTCTCTCTGCCCACATTTAAAAGCTGTTAAAGGTTTATAATGTCCTCTTCATGTTATCTTTTGATTTTTTAGCTGATAGATATTTGATGTTCAGTACCTATAAATGCTCCCTCCTTTGTTGCTATGTAACTGTAACAGCTGACTGCATGACCTGTGCTCGTATTCTTCCGGGTTTTTACTTTATTTTGAAATATGTACCATGTATAAACTATAATGATTATAAATTATAATGACACAGGGGCCCTCAACAAGATAACCTCTCTTAGTTTACATTGTGTTTTAGTCAAATTAATATACATAGGGGCAGATTTTAGTCAAATTTTTACATTTTTATTCTATTTTTTGCTTTGCTGCCACTCAAGTGTGTTGAAATATATGACTTTACTTATTTGCTGTACCTTTATTTTTTAACAAAGTAGCCCTACAATGTCGGGAACATGATTGCAGAAGAGGATGAAACTGCCCTCATCGGTTCAGCTGCCGTAGAAAGTGGCCCCAGGAAATAATTGTTACATGCATGGATGCACACTATAACCAAATTATACAGTAGATAACCAAATTAACATGTTTTTCTGTCATTAAACCCTTTTGTATTGGTTTGTGGTCAAGCTGATTTTGCATGATTTGATTGTTGGGTAATTTCTAAACTATGTTTGGCTGCTTACAGGAAACATTTTATTAGCTGCGCAAAATAAGACATGTGACATTTGTTTGAGAATTTTCACAACAAAAGTAAAAATAAAATATATAGTATAGGCCTATAGTAAAATATCAATAATGTTTTCTGGGCAAATAATGAAGCTGTCTTCTTTGTACAACATGTAGGTGACAGTAAATACACAATGCACAGAGGGAAGTAGGTAGCTACTGTAATTATTTGCTCTGCTAATCAACCAATTATTTATTGATTAATCCCAGAGCTCGAGGCGGTGTATTCCAATTCCTGATTTTATTTGACCAACAGTCCCAAATATATTTAGTTTATTATCATATATGATGATATATGTTAAGCTATGTTATATATTTGCCATCAAACAAGAACAAACAAGAGAAAAAAAGCTTAAAATCCTCACATGAGAAGCTGGAACAAGTTCATATTTGACGTTTTTTTAATGACACGAAACAATCATTTGATAAACTGTAATTGCCAATTATTTAAATTGTACTTTATCAGCCTGCCACTCAAATTAAATAAAGTGGACTATAAATTAGTTTTATGTAGACATGTTGAGGCTTAATGTGAATTAGATAGTCAGAGTTAAGGCCAACGTTATAATACAAATATATAATCTGATTTTAATTGATTTGTGACTGTTGTTCAGTAAACAGCCGCAGTGGCTCCGCGTCTTTTGGTTGCCATGGCTCCGTTTCGCCGCTAGGTGGCGGTAGAGCTCCGACGTACAGGGAGTCGCCATGGAAACCGACGGGCGCCTTCAAGGATGTTGGGAGAGAAGAGCGGAGCTTGAAGCACCCAGTGACGTAATGTCAGGGATGTGAGAGAGACCGAGTGGGACCCTGGTGCTGCCTTCAGGTTCTCCTCGTAAATTAGACCACCCACTCTGATTGTACAGTCCCAGAGCGAGTCACAGAGATACTGTGTGTCTGTGTAGTATCAGAAAAACAATGGATAACTATGGCAAAGAAATCTGCCTTTAGCCGTAGAATATATTTTAATACTTTCAGAAAACCTGTAGGTCTAATTATTGTGTTTTTTCCTAACTTTAGACCATTATCTTTAGTTATTATAATATAACAGTTATAGGTCTTACAGAGGTAGAGATAGATATGTAGTTCCATTTCCCAAGAGAAGGTATGTCAATGAATGAAAATCACTTTTGAATGACACATCCAGGATGTATTTTACTTTTAAAATATGTGGCAGCTGTATGTGAAAACAGAGCGAAATGATCATAAAATTGTGGAATGGGTAATGTGCTAAAATAATAATAAACAGCAAACTTTCTTTCATGAAGCATGTTGCAAAACAAGGTCACAAAGTGCTTTACAGAATACCCTACAAAGCTAAAACAGCCTGGTAAAAGAAATAGGCTTGTTATAAACACTAACAGAGAATTTATTCTTATTTATTTATGTTTTTTTTCTCTCTTGTTATCACCTGCACAGATATTCAAGGGACGATTTCAAGAAGAATCACTAATTAATTATTATATTAAATCCAATTAAAATGTTGATGGCGTAAAATAATGAAGATATCAAGTTGCTGGGGAGGGATGGATGGGGGTCAAATGGATGGATGGGAAGGGAGGGAGGGAGTAGAGAAGGATTTATTATTATTTTGACATGTGGTTTGTACTCCATAATGAATGTGGATGTCGAGAAAAGGCAAACCAATAAATAGTTGGTCACAAAAGAGCCCCTTAAAAAGCACATGTGTAGAAAACAAAACTTTTAAAAGACTTGTAAAAGAGGAAACTGTTTTTGATGAGAAAAGTGAGGCACACACACACACACACACACACACACACACACACACACAGACACAGGGATATGTCCGGCAGCCCCTGAATGCAGCAGCTGGCTGCTGCGCTCGCAGCCGGAGGAACGGACAGCGTTACGCACGAGGCAGGGACCATCTCCACCGGGAGGAAAAGAAGCAAGACAAGTGCGAGGTGAGCATCATTTCTCCGCACAGATACAGCCCCTCTAATGTCTATTCCTCCCATGTATTGTTCTTTAATTGAGGCAATTAGCGAGCAGTTTCCAGAGAGCTCAGAGCGGCAGCCAGCCTGTCTGTCTGCCTGCCTGCCTGCCTGCCTGTCTGTCTGTCTGTCAGGCAGCACCAGAGGTCTCGCAGATCCTCCTGTAGGGATGCTGCAGTAGCTCAAACCCTCGCCAAGCAATTTGTTCCAGATTGTAACTCTCTGAGTTGATGTTTTTTTTGTCTGTCGTCGAGTGTGCGCCGAGTAGTTTACAGCGACTGAAAGAGCTGCACAGCACGGGAGGAAGTTTGGGAGCAACAGAATAAAAAGTTGGTTTGGTTTTGTGTTAATAAGTGTTGGTTTTATGTTACCGTGCAGGGACTGGTGAACAGCTCACACCTGCAGCAATTAGCCGGCACCTAAACACTGATACAAATGGGACCTCGCAGCATTTGAATACTTTGCAAGTCAAGTGTAACTTTAAAATAATTCAAATGTGTCTCTCAATCAGGTGTGGTTTATCTAAGCTGTTTGTATGATACTGAATATGTGTGTATATGTTCTTTTTGAAACTCCAGCCTTTGCTTTAATGCTTCAATTCAACTGTTTTCCTTCCCATCAATAGCACTTGTTCACTGTCCTGATACCACACTTGACCTTTGAGCTGTGAGTGACACCAGCTCCTACACATCTGCTTTTGCTGGACATTTTTTTAAAGCTTTTTTTGTTGTTTGTTTTTTTTAAATGTATATTTGGCAGATGCTCCCTGGAAAACTGACGTCTGCTCATTTTGCTGCATAGAAACTGAAACCTGCCCACAGTTTTTCCCTCAGCGGCAGACAGATTGAATCTCAGCCAGTGGAGAGGATCACGATGATCACATCCTCCTTTAAGATCAAATCTCCATGGCGGCGGTGGTGATGGTTTTGGGAGAGAGAACCATCCTGGTTATCTCAGGTTCCCGTTCTCTGCCCAGCCCCTCAGGACCAAGAGCTGCAAAGAGAAACCGGCGAGAAACGATATGACTGAGACGAAGCGTGTGGCAGAGGT